CAACACCAGTGGCGCGTCTGCTGCCGTCTCCTAATCGGATTGCCTGTTTAAAGTGTGTTTGGTGTTGAGTTATCTGCGGGGTAATGGTTGATTATGACGCGTGGCAGTAAAAGCCGCAAGGATGCTGTCTCGCCGATGCCGCCTTATCTTTGCACGATAGCCAGCTGTTTGTGACGGAATGTTGTCTACACAAGGTGTAGGCGCCTTGACCCTGAATGTTTGCTTAGGGCATTAAGTTTTTCAGGTAAGTCCCCCTTCTCTCCCTCTTCTTATTCTTTATTTCATAGGTCCTCATGGTTGTATGGCAGCGAAGCATCAGTTCAAATGGCTGATGTACTGCTGTTGATGATGATGATATAACCACGCCTTTTGGTCTTTATGAATTCGTTCGCATGCCATTTGGTCTACGAAATGCCGCACAGACTTTCCAAAGGTTTATTGATCAAGTCCTTAGAGGGCTCGATTTCGTCTACGCCTACATTGCCGATATTCTTGTGGCCAGTTCCAATCATGATGAGCATCTGTCACATCTCCGGTCGATCTTCGAACGCTTTGCTCAGTACGGCGTTACGGTCAATGTTGACAAATGTGTTTTTGGCCAAAGTTCTGTTGATTTTTTGGGCCATCGAATTGATTGCAATGGTATTAATCCACTCCCCGAGACTACCCCATGCCTCAATCTTTCAAAAGTCTCCATCGTTTTCTCGGCATGGTGAATTACTACAGCCGTTTCATACCAGATTGCTCTGGGCTACTCCAGCCATTGACCGATTTACTTAAAGGCAAGTCACGAAAATTCGAGCCAACTCAGGAAGCTATCGATGCATTCGACAAGATCAAGCACGCGTTGTCCAACGCTACCGCGCTTAGTCATTTGAGGACTGATGTTGACGTTACTCTGATCCTCAAGACTGATGCATCTCAGACCGCCGTTGGGGCTGTTCTCCAGCAGGTAATCAACGGTCAACCTGAGCCGCTATCCTTTTTCTCTCGTAAACTCCAGCCAGCACAGACGCGGTACAGCACATTCAGTCGAGAACTTTTAGCTATCCACCTCGCTATCAAACATTTTCGGCACCTGCTTGAAGGTCGCACGTTTGCCATTCTTACAGACCATAAACCACTTTCCTTTGCTTTCCGTGGTTCATCCGACCGTTTCTCCCCCAGAGAAATTCGTCATTTGGATTATATTTCACAGTTTTCTACCGACATTCGCCATGTCGATGCTGCCAATAACATTGTCGCCGATGCCATGTCACGTATATGTCTTCACGAAGTTTCACGGCAGAAGATTAACTTAGAAGACATAGCAGCTCATTAGGAAGGAGATACTGAGTTTGTGCAACTGAGATCAAATCCGTCGATCAAAATATCACAGTTGCCAATCCTGAACTCAGACTCCAAAATTTACTGTGATATTTCTACTGGCAAGCCCCGGCCTTTTGTCCCTCAGCAGTATCGCCGAGTCGTCTTTGACCACCTGCATAGAATCTCACACCCGAGCATCCGAGCCACCGTCAAGCTAATTACTGATCGCTTCATTTGGTACAATATGCGCTCCGCGATCCAGCATTGGCCCAAACATTGTATCACTTGCCAAACCAGCAAGATCCACCGTCACACGATTACCGTCCCCGGCACGTTTGCTCTTCCCGACGCTCGTTTCAAACATGTTCATCTTGACATCGTTGGACCCTTGCCTCCATCCAACGGTTTTGTCTACTTATTGACATGTGTTGATCGTTATACGCGTTGGCCACTTGCCGTGCCTTTACATGATGCTTCTACAGAAACGGTGGCGCGAACATTCATTGAGAATTGGATTTCGGTCTTTGGCACGCCAGCCACTATTACTACCGATAGAGAGTCCCAATTCAATTCGGCATTGTTTCGTGACACGAACCGCTTGCTCGGTTGTTCTCATCTACGGACAACCGCCTATCACCCAGCTGCTAATGGCATCGTTGAACGTTTCCATCGTCAACTTAAAGCTGCACTTACTGCTTCACAGTCAAACTCACAATGGTCAGAACGTCTACCGATTATCTTGCTTGGTATTCGTAACACTATTAAAGAAGACATTGGCTGTTGTCCCGCTGAGTTGGTCTTTGGCACTACTCTCAGGCTTCCTGGAGAAATGGTGCTAGACTCAGGGGTTACTGGAGAAGTTGATCCGACCTCGTACGTCACACGCCTGAGGCAGCACTTTAGTACAATTCGTCCAACGCCACTCGAATCAGTCCTCGGAGTCAACAGGTACACCCGGATTTGCACACTTGCCCCTTCGTTCTCATGCGCGTCGATTCCGTCCGTAAACCTCTGACACCGCCTTACGAGGGCCCCTTCAAGGTTGTTGCGCGGAAAGAGAAGTACTTCGTGCTAGATAGAAATGGTTATCAGGATATTGTGACTATTGACCGCCTGAAGCCGGCGTACATCGAGTCGCGACCTATATCGAAACCCACAGACATTCCTGTCACCGACCAGCCCACCTTCCCAAGTACGCCTCCTACTCAGCCCATGTCTGACACCTCTGTTCCCTCTCCTGCACCCCAAGCATCTCACGACACAAACTCGAACTCGCATCAACAAACACGTTTCGGACGTACAGTTGTTCTCCCTTCCAGACTACGGTAAATGACACCCAAGTATCGAGCTTTCATCTCAGTGACTCACGCTCTAGAGGGGGAGTTCTGTAGCGCTTGTAGATATCTTTCTTCCCAATTGTACTTTCCTATTCTCACCTCCATTATTATTGTACAGTTTTGTTTTAACTGACCAACAACCGATAAAACACCTTTTCGGGTTTCGATTCGCCTTCTGGTTTCGGCTCCGCGTGTTGTGCTGTTTGTCGTCGTTTGTCTGCTGGCCTCGTCCATCGTTCATCGGATCTAACGCGTCGATTTATTGTGCCGATTAAGTTCCGTCTTCCGACCAGATTGTGCGACTAACTGACAGCCTAGCGAAGATCGTGCTTTACCTAAGGTCAGCTACAGCATTCTTATTTATTGACTGAGTTCTTATATGTAGTTAAGCCCTTTCCGTTTGGCCTTTCCACTACACGTTCCAGTTTATCTGAATCTGTATCTACCTGACGCTTACGGGTTATTTTGCGGTTGTTCTCTTTTTTAATCCTGTTTTAACCCTGTTTTGCCTTTTTATTGTGGTCGTTTTACGGCTGTACGTTTTTAAATTCTGCTGTTTTCCGCTTAAACATGGTCGTCTCGGGAAAAACCGAGGCAGATGAACCCATTGCCTCCTCGTTTGATGAGTCAAATGCGGCTTGCAACAATTCTGCTTGTTCAAAACCAGTTACGGATTCATTTGGTGGTGTGCAGTGTGATTTTTGCCCCCGCTGTTATGAAAAAAGTGGTACCGGCCTCCGAGCGAATCAGTACAATACGCTATCATCCAGTGAAAACCTTCTTTTTAGATGTCCTGATTGTTGCGCTCAGAAAGCGAAGCTCCCGGCTTTCACCTGTGCTGAATTCAAGGCACTGATTTCCAGATTTACTGTTGTGGGAGGACGTTTGCCGAGCTTGCCTCCCTTGCCTCGCTCAACTCTAAAGTGGATTTGATTATAGTTCGGGCAGAGTGAGGGTTTATGGCAAACTGTCGCCACCCTTCAGTATCACCAGCAGTGTGAGACAAGGTAGCCCGCTGCCACCTTTGCTCTTTAACTTCGTTATTGATGAAATGGAAACAACGTTCGCTGAACATGACCTAGAAGGTGTGGAGCTACTTCCTGGTGAGCGACTTCTTGACTTAGAGTATGCGGACGATATTGCCCCAATCTGTGACAGCTCCCAAACATGCCAAGCAGCACTGGACCGATTAGCACTGGTTGCCAATCGTTTTGGGCTATGCTTTGCTCCATCGAAATGCAAAGTACTTCTCCAAGATTGGCAGGGACCCAACCCTGCGCTAACGCTTTGTGATGATCTGTTAGAAGTCGTTCAAGAATTCAAGTACCCGGGCAGGTATATTAGCACCCGTGGGATTGAAGATGAGGTTACGAACCGTATAGCAAAAGCTCGAGGTGCTTTTGCCAATCTTCTCCACCTGTTGCGCAGACGCGACCTTACTCTCGCCCTGAAGGGCAGAGTTTATAACGCAGCCGTCCGTTCAACTCTCCTATATGGTTGTGAAATCTGGCCCATCAGGTCGACAGACATAAAGAGGCTCGTCATATTTGATCATCGCTGCCTTCGCAGCTTGGCTCATGTCTGGTGAGAGCATCGCGTGAGCAATGAGCGTGTTCGGCGTCGCGTATTTGGTGCAGCAAAAGCGAGTGAACCGCTCAGCACCATTATATCACGCACTAGGCTCCGATGGTTGGGCCACGTGTTGCGCATGCCAGCACACCGACTTCCGCGACGTGCATTGTTAGCGTGTTGTGGGTGTAGTTGGAAGAGGAGGAAAGGAGGCCAAGCGGTAACTTAGTCTAGAGAGATGAAAACCCTCACTTCGAAGTTGGCGTCGGTTGGTGCATCCGGACATCCTGGCTGGGGTCCTAAGGACGGTGAACACGTTTGGTTGGACACACTTGCTTATATGGCTTGGAGCCGGCCCCGATGGCGTTTGTGTTGTGAGTTCCTTTGTTCATCCCCCTCCATCTTAGCATCCCCTCCAATCACGATATCGTTAGACATAATAAAACTCTCTTTTTTGCGACATGATAGCCAGCTGTTAGCTCTCCGGAACGATGTCCATCCGTTACTGGGGCCTCAGCGGGCGTGCCACTGTTTGTTTTCCTTTTCTTGTCTTTTGTATTACGGCACAATAGCTGAGGTGTTTTCCACCTACAGCTAACGTGTATGATAATAATAATAATAATACCCGCTCATGGATTCATCCTGTCGTTCCAGTCCCACTTGAACTTCGTTTGCAGCTACAACTGTTCCCCGGGGAAAAGACCTCCACATCTTAGTCTGAAATAATATTTCCTTTTATGTTTTCATGTCTTGCTTTCCATTGTTTATTTTCCGTTTGTGTTTTCAGTTTCTTTTTTCCTCCCGTTTTATATTATTTCCATTTCACGTGGCCGGCACAGCTGTGGCAGCTGGGGTAAGGCACGTGACCATTGCATATTTGAACGCGGTGACGCGCGTGCCGATTATACCCTCTCAGAAGACAAATCCATTCTCCGATACCCACCCCGGCTCAACGACGCTTCCGCAACGGAACATCCATGGGATTCTTCCATTGATCCTGTCCCACTTGAACTTGTTTCTCCCTATCTCCAGCTGATATTCTGTTCAAGTCTCATCGCCCTTCATTTTCGCACTTTCAGATTAGACACAATGTTCAGAAACACCTTTCAGAGTGGATTCCTTTCTGTTCTCTTCAGCGTCGGTACCAAGCCGTTACAACTTTGGGATAAAAAAGTACACCTTCTTGCGTAATGTGTTCTTATTTAGGTCCGTAATGGCCATATCAAACGGATAACCGACAACGATATTCAATCACTGGTTCTCGAATTGTTGGGGAACAATGTGTCGTACGTTTTCTTTCGTTCACGCTCCAGCTCCTTCAGCACAACTTACATCTCTTGCCCTTCCGACTCCACAAGGGTACTGGGCATCAAGCTTCCGTTTTTAGTTTTAATCGTGAAAAATCTAAAGAAGTATTTCACTTTTGAAATTATGGTACGCAGTCTTTCCATCTTACTCATCCGCACAGATTTTGGATGACGTCGGCATAAAACGTCGATTTCGGGCAAGCAACTATCAAAGCACTACTCGTGTGAAGCCTTTCATATGCACAATGCCTCTCCGATTGGAGGACAACTGGAACAACGTGTACTTCAATCTAGCTGACTTCACCAAGCGAGCTTACGGCACTAATTTTGCAGAAGTGCTTCGTATTCAGGTGAGACCGCCTTCATTTACAAAACGTGTTCGACTAGCGTGTTACGGGACTCTTGCATGTTCATTGTCACCTTGCTCAGTGGCATAGCTTCTCGCTTCTACCGACGTCTAAAGCACTTCTGTGTATCGTTCATCATCATTCATCATTATACACATCAGCTAGAGGTGGGAAAACACCTCCGCTATTGTGCCGCAATACATGAAGGAAATACATACACACATAAATGCATATACTACAATACACAAAGGAAAAATAGATACAACAGTTGCATGCCAGCTGAGCTACCAGCAACGGATAGGCATCGTTCCGGTAAGCTACCAGCCAGCTACTAGGCAAAAAGAAAAAAATTATTGTTTTAGCCTACGAAATGAGATCGTAGATGGAGGGGGAAGCTAAAAGGGCTGGGGAGGGACAAAGAAACACAGCAGGAACGCCACTGAGGTCGGCTCCTTGCCATGTCAGTGTATCCAGCACTGACTATAGCTTGTTTCTTGATTGCGTTGTCTTTTCATATTCTTACTATTCTTATTACAGCTGTGTGAGACGAAGTTTTTATCATGTTTGAACAACAAGCAGCGCAGCAGCAGCAACATTGTTAACAATTTGATCTTTTCTTTCTCTGCCGTCCAACTAGAGTAACCTTGAGAGTGGTGTAATAAGAAAGGTAGAAAGAAGTGAAAAGTCTACGTGCCCTTAGCAAACTTTTGGAACCAAGGCGCCTGCATCTGCTCAAAAGCATCTTGTCATCATCATAATATGTTAGCTACAGATGGGAAGTGTCCTAGGTTTTGCACCGTAAAGTACGGTCCAAACGGTTGGGGATTTTCACTGCCCCTCGTCAACCATTACCTCGCAGCTAACAGCATCAGACATCTTGTTTCCGATGACTTTACGAATAACCTGTGGGTATTGCACTTCCCAGATCAGAAGACAAGGGTTTTTGGCGAAACCTTTAATGAGCTCCCGACAAACAGTAGGTATAGCTGAGGTGTTTTCCACCTTTAGCTAACGTGTATTATGATGATAGCCAAACATCAAGTTAAAATATTCATGAGATAATGACCTGACTGAAAATCCCTTGAGTCTCGCAAATACTAGGTGTCTGAAATTGCACCTGTTGGTTGCTCAACGAGCGTGCTCTTTTTGATAGATTTCAAGGTAGGTTCTTCTCATTGTTAGACTTCAAGGTGGACCGCTCATTGGCTAACCGATTAGCTTCAGGCTGCGTTGGATCAAACTTTGGGCTGCTAGCGTAACGACTGGCTCCGAAGGCTGCTATGGGCGGACTCCCTTAACTAGGCTTAATTCTAGCAGACAGCCCGATTAGAAAATGGAAAACACATCATTGATCACGACTGCAAGCCAAACACAAGGTGAGTTGTGTAGACTTATATCTGCAAAGCGAGGCGGACCAACAACACTCAGTTTAATCGTCAGTGACGTTGCCAAGTCAACTTTCGCCATCCTCGAGCATTGCACCATCTAACACTCAGTAAGCAAACGAAAAATCTCTTCTTTGAGTTGTGACGAACGTACGTTACAATTACGTGAACCAAAGTAACGTATACAACATTGCTTGTTTTTGTAAGGAACTAAATTCGCCATCTCCGCATAGTACTCTCCTGCGTACATCATTGTTTCCGATTCGCTGGTGCCATTGGACATCAGCAACGTTTCTCTGGTAGCTGTAGCCAAAAACTAGAAGGCGCTTCACATCCTCCAACCGAAGAAGCCAAGCCACAACCCAATAGAGGACTGTGATCACTGTATGCTTGTGTACACGACCTTACAGACGGAAGAAAACCTCTTCCGATGCTACAGATACTGCAGGTTTATAAACGTTATCATGGCTTTTGAAATACGTGAACTAGTCCCACTTATTTTTACAGTTGCCTTCATAGCCCAAGGTCAGGGCTTACAGCAAATTGCCATACTTGGAAAATGTCTCTGAAGACTACGGAGACAATAGTCCGAATAGAGTTCTATGGACTGGGCAGAACGGCGCACTAAGTCGGTCAGTGTGTTTATGTGTTGTTTGGGAACTATAGGAAAGCGGCTCCGATCATATACGTGCTGAGTATCTCGCAACTAATGAAAACAAACATATCGGAAATATCGAACAGTGAAAGATTTGCAGTAGCAAAAAATAGATCCGCGATGTTCAAAATCACGGCATTGGGAGTAATACTCGTCATTTGCAGAAGATCATCATCATCATTATACACGTCAGCTAGAGGTTGGAAAACACCTCCGCCATTGTGCCGCAATACATGAAGGAAATGGTTGGCGGCATCCGGTTTCGGATTTGCCTGTCACTGTGGCCAGACACAGGACGCCTGCGCCTATAGAGGGACCATGGATGGCTTGCGCTGCACCACCCACAGCTCCAACCACACACCCCATATCCAGTGTGAACCCGCAGGAATAAGACCGGGAGGTATGTGGATGGGAGCCACGTTTCAACAACGGAGCCGGCCCACACTCCTTCACAGGCAAACACAAGCACGCTGTATTTGGGAAATCAAGCGCACACAAGGCGGTGGCTGGACTGTAGTCCGCTCCACACTGAGTGCATGCTGAGTGTCTCGCAACTAATGAAAACAAACATATCGGAAATATCGAACAGTGAAAGTTTTGTAGTCGCAAAGATAGATCCGCGATGTTCAAGATCACGGCATTGGGAGTAATACTCGTCATTTGCAGAAGGTCATCATCATCATCATCATCATTATACACGTCAGCTAGAGGTGGGAAAACACCTCCGCTATTGTGCCGCAATACATGAAGGAAATACATACATATATAAATGCATATACTACAATACATAAAGGAAAAATAGATACAACAGTTACATGCCAGCTGAGCTACCAGCAACGGATAGGCATCGTTCCGGTAAGCTACCAGCCAGCTACTAGGCAAAAAGAAAAAAATTATTGTTTTAGCCTACGAAATGAGATCGTAGATTGAGGGGGAGGCTAAAAGGCATGGGGAGCGACAAAGCAACTCACAGCACAAACGCCACTGAGGTCGGCTCCTTGCCATGTCAGCAAATGTATCCAGCCAAACGTGTTCACCGTCTTTTGGACCCCAACCAGGGAGCCGTGACGCTCCAACCGAGGCTGGCTCCGAAGTGAGGGACTACATTCCCCTGGACCAAGTCATCGCTTGGCTACCTCTCTTCTTCTTCCACCCACATCCGCGGTGAGCAAACAACGCACGTCGAGGGAGTCGGTGGGCTGGCATGCGTAACACGTGGCCGAGCCATCGGGGCCTGGTGCGGGAAATAACGGTGCTGAGCGATTCAGTTCCTTTTCTTGTGCCGTAAACAATGCGTCGAACACGCTCGTTACTCACGCGGTGTTCCCACCAGATGTGAGCGAAACTGCGAAGGCTCCGATGGTCGAACGTAACTATCCTCTTTATGTCCGCCGATCTTAGGGGTCAGGTTTCGCAACCGTACAGTAATGTCAAACGTACCGCTGCATTGTACACTCTACCCTTCAAGGCGAGAGTGATGTCGCGCCGCCGTCATAGGTGGCGAAGGTTAGCAAAAGCACTTCGAGCTTTCGCTATACGGTTCGATCAACTGAATCGAAGGCACCTTTGATGTCGAGGAACACGACTAGGGTGGGCCGCCAATATGTGTGACGGTGCTTCAACAACTGGCGCAAAGTGAAGATGTGGTCGATGCAGCCAGGACCACGACGAAACCCGGCTTGCTCCTCACGAATCTGGCTTTCACGAGCGCCAGTCAGTCTGTGAAGAATTATGGAGGCGAGTAATTTGGAGGCGATGGAGATCAGACTGATTCCTCTATAGTATCTGCATTCCGAGCGTGAGCCTCCTTTGAAGATGAGGACAATAACGGAGCGGCTCCAGTCGGTTGGGACAGTCTCCTGCTCCCACAGTTTCACTAATAATTCATGTAAAGCATCAACAGGAGCAGAGCCTCCGAATTTGAAGAGGGCTGGAGGAAGATCATCTGGTCCCGCGGCTTTGTTCAACTTCAATAGTCCGATCTCACGTTCGACTTCTGAGCAAGAGGGTGGATCCAAAGGGACAGCCCACGGAGCAGGGCGATCACTGGTCGGCGAGGAAGCGAACAATTCTAGCCGATTAAATTGCTTTTCAAAATGCTCAGCCCAACGCTCCAAACGTTTTGACAAATTGTGGATAGGCTGTCCACTCTCATCACAAATTATTTCACTAACACCAGGTCTCCTGCTGCCCCTTTCCCGTATCAGACGGAATAACTTACGATGGTTGCCAAGGGCAGCGGCCACTTCCATCTCTGACGCACGATGAGACCACCAAGATTCGCGGTCTCTCTTCAGGCTAGCGCGGAGTTTTGCCCGGAGCTCTTTGCGAGTTTCATTGTGTTCGCTTCCAGCCGGGATATGCCGGCGCGCGTCGATAAGATCCAGAGACCAAGAAGAGACCCAATGTTCATGTTGGCGATTAGACAAACCACATGAGGATTTACCCGCTGCTAGTAAGGTCTGGCGAACATGTGACCAGTGACTATCAATTGTCTCCAGTGAGCGAGTACTCAACTCGCATGTCAGCGTACTTCGATACGCATTCAGAACAGCTAGCTTTGTCAGTTGGCTAGTGTCAATGCACTCACATCGTCGTCGTGGGTGTCCGCCAAAACGCATCCGCATGTCAGCATATACAAGTGCATGGTCGGTGTCCACACATGTGCTCCAAATCGAGCGACAATTCTGGATGCAGCCTCTCCAGCGGTAACTAATAGCAATGTGATCGATCTGCGTCCAAGGCTGTTTCGAGGCTGGTGGGCGCCACGGCACTCTCCAGCGGTTGCTGTGTCGGAAATTAGTGCTCGCAAGAAATAATCGAGCATCTTCACACAAATGAAGTAACCGCTCACCGTTATCATTACGGGAGCCTACACTGTGCTGACCGCGCAGGTGCATTTCATCAGTGGACAACTTTCCAACTTGTGCGTCCATATCCCCAGCCTGCACAACAGTGTCCAT